GCGGGCTTCCGGGATCGTCAAGAGGGTGAGAAGGTCCAGGAGGTCTTGGATGGAGAGGAGCGTAGGGTTTGAGGAACGTCAAGAGTGGTGAGATGGACCAGGAGGTCTTGGAGACAGAGGTGGAAGGGGTGGGAGGGGCTTAGGAGGGCGTGGTCCAAGTGGGAAGGACCTGGGGTGGTGGTGGTTAGATCCACCACGGGGAGATCCCATTGAGATCTACCACCTCAGGGAGGTCCTTATGGGGTTCCACCACCCCAGGGAGGTCATTATGGGGGTCCACCACCATGAGAAGTTCGTTATGGGGCTCCACCACCCCAGGGAGGTCATTATAGGGTTCCACCACCGTGAGGAACCCCATTGAGATCCACCACGGGGAGATCCTGTTGAGATCTACCACCCTGGGGAGGTCATTATGGGGTTGCACCACCATGAGGAGGTTGTTATGGGGTTCCACCACCATGAGAAGGTCATTATGGGGTTCCACCACCCCAGGGAGGTCATTATGGGGTTCCACCACCATGAGGAAACCCTACTGAGATCCACCATGGGGAGATCCCATTGAGATCCACCACCATGAGAAGGTCATTATGGAGTCCCACCACCCCGACCTTCTCCCCCTTCCCTCCGCAGCCCCCGGACGGTCTCTACGACCCTTCCTCCCACCACCACCACCCTCCTCCTCCCCCTCCTCCTCTTGGATGGAGAGGAGCGTAGGGTTTGAGGAACGTCAAGAGTGGTGAGATGGACCAGGAGGTCTTGGAGACAGAGGTGGAAGGGGTGGGAGGGGCTTAGGAGGGCGTGGTCGAAGTGGGAAGGACCTGGGGTGGTGGTGGTGGGAGAGGAACGTAGGGTTTGAGGAACGTCAACGGTGGGGAGATGGTCCAGGAGGCACCAGGAGGTCTTGGATGGAGAGGAGCGTAGGGTTTGAGGAACATCAAGGTGGTGAGATGGTCGAGGAGGTCTTGGAGATGGAGGTGGGAGGGGCTTAGGAGGGCGTGGTCCAAGTGGGAGGGGCTTGGGGAGGTGGTGGGTGGAGAGGAACGTAGGGTTTGAGGAACGTCAAGAGGGTGAGAAGGTCCAGGAGGTCTTGGATGGAGAGGAGCGTAGGGTTTGAGGAACGTCAAGAGTGGTGAGATGGACCAGGAGGTCTTGGAGACAGAGGTGGAAGGGGTGGGAGGGGCTTAGGAGGGCGTGGTCCAAGTGGGAAGGACCTGGGGTGGTGGTGGTTGGAGAGGAACGTAGGCTTTGAGGAACGTCAAGAGGGTGAGAAGGTCCAGGAGGTCTTGGATGGAGAGGAACGTAGGGTTTGAGGAACGTCAAGAGTGGTGAGATGGACCAGGAGGTCTTGGAGATGGAGGTGGGAGGGGCTTAGGAGGGCAT